TCTTGGGGCGGTGGGGGGGGCCTCTGTCCTCAGGCAGCGCATCGTCTTGGGGCGGGGAACCTGCTCAACACACACTGCTTCCTGCAGCTCTTCCTGGGCTCTAGGGGGCAGTGTGGCTGCGAAAATGAATTAGACAGGACTCAAGGATTTCCTTTAGCTTACTGGGAGATATGTGATCATTCCTTTGTTCATTCATTTTAGTTATTTAGCCAACAAAAATTTACAGAGCACCTACTGTGTTTTAGGCACCAAAGATACAGCAGGGACTGATACAAAGTCCCCAGATAAGGAACTCATCTAGTGACAGGAGATACAGCAGGTAAAGACATCATAAAATAATTTCAGATAGAAAGGCTGTGAAGGAAACAGAGTGACCTGATGGAGAATAAAGGAAAGCTGTCTATTTGAGAGGGGAGTCAGGGAAGTCCTTTCCAAAGGTGACATTGGAGCCGAGACCTGAAGGATGAGAAGGAGCTGCCCGTCAGTGCAAACCGCCGGGGGAAGGCACTTCTGGCCCAGGAGAAAGCAAGTGCGAGCGCGTGCAAAGGCAAGTGCGGAGGTGGGAGTGCGGAGCCATCTCCTGGGCGGCTCCTCAAGTGGGCCAGAAGCTCTGCAGCCCCAGTGAGGCAGGGAGCTCACCTTCTGAGCCTAACCGGCAGGGGTCGGGCTCACCCTGCAGCCACTGATTAAAAGACCCCGATGAGCCATGGCCAGGAGAGGAACCAGCCCTGCCGTCTGGTGAGTTTCGGGCTCAGGACTGTGAGGTTTGGTGTTACTGGGGCAGTGGTGTGCTCTTATACACAATAAGTTTATCTGTCACACGCTCCTCCTGGCCCCTCCGGGCCAGAGTAAGATTTGGTTGGGGATGCAGAGGACTTCCCGCGGCAGCGGGAGGGGAGGGAGGGAGGGAAGCTCACCTGCGATCTGCTCCTCAGTCAGCTGGTCAGCCTGGAAAAGCAGGAAGGAGAAAGTTAGTCACAGGCTGGCACATGTTCCTTGCTCAGCCTGGCCTCCTCTGGTGAGGCTGGTTCCACACAGCTTCCACGTACCTGGGCAAGGGAGGTCATGCCAGAGCCAGGGTCTGGGATAAAGTCTGGTGGTCCGGGAAGCTGGGGACTAAGGTGGGCTGGAAGCCCAGACCAGCCTGACGCAGGGCCTGATTACGCCGCCCAGACTCCGAGGTCTCCAATCCAGCCCAGTGCTCTGGAGCCATGGTGGGCGGGAAGTGCTGCCCCAGACCCAACCCAGCTGCACCAGCACAGCACGGGAGCCCCAGAGGCTGAGTGAAGGGAGCAGTTGCCCTAGAGGCCTAATCAAGCAGCTCTAGAAGGCCCCAAACCAAAACAGGCCAGGCCTTGGGTAGGGCAGAGGGAAGATGTCTGGGGGCTCTTCGCTAGTTTCTATGTCACCGATTTGGAGGCATTAGGTCCGAGCACAGTGGACCCAACTGGCAACAATTCTCCTAACTGGTAGCTCTGAGGCGCTCCGAGTGCCTAACAGAATCCTGCTCAGGCAGGGGGCAGCCCCCCACACTCTCTTGTGCACGGGGCACCATTCCGCTGTTTCTTTTGGGCAGGAACGGTGGGTGTCAGGGAGGGGACTGCAGCAGGCAGTGGTGGCAGAGGCTGGAGGACTAAAGTCAGCTTCCCCCGCTGCACTGCAGTTTTGAACCCTCTCCGGCCCTGGCCGCGTTTGTGTTAGGTCGGTGGCAGGCAGCCCTTACTGCATGCGGGGCTTGGGGGTGGGGCAGAGGAGAAGCAAAGGCTAGCTTGTCCCACACTGGTGTGCTGGGAACTAGCCAGGCATAGGGATCCTCTGGGGGAGCAGCCATGACGGGAACAAAATCCCAACATTTAGCATCAAAAAAGGAATTTTCCTTGGTTTTTGTGAATGCTGCCAAAAAGGCACCGCTCTCCCCAGACCACCATCCCCTTCCTTTATTTCCTTTCACAATTAGGGGAAGGGGCTCCACGTCTACAGCAGGCTTCTAGCGTTGACTCTGAGAGCCCCCCAAACTGATGCATGCCATTGTGTGTATTTGCATTATTCTCTATAAAGTTTCCAGAGCTAGCAACAACCCCCAACCCTGTCCCAAATATGAAGACCGATCACATTAGAACAGGTCTCAAATGTCCTTTTTCTTTCTTTCTTTCTTTCTTTTTTTTAAATCTAAGGGAAGAGAAACTTAGGCCAAGCCCCAAATAGTCAGAATGGGAGGGGAAATCAAAGTGGTGATGACAGAGGGGAGATGGCTAAGGGAGGGGGAAGCAGGAAGGCAGAGAAGGGAAAACACCACACATGCGCATTCGGGAAAAGTCCAGGGTCTACAGGGAAGGTTAGGAGGCCAAACGGAGCTACTACTGCATCGCTTTCCAAAAAGACCCAGGGCTGCCGGGCTCCTGAACGCCAGCGCCAGCCTGGCAGCCCCAGGCCCACAAGCCCCTTGCTCCTCCGCTTCCCCTGGCTTCTACGGGTAAAGAAGGCGGAGCCAATCCCCTAGGTCCTGACACCTGAGGAAGCTGCTGGGAGAAAGTGAGAACAGAGGATGGGCTTCTGGTTACCAAGGCCAGGTGATGCCAGGGGAGGGGAGGAGGCAGACGGGAGAGCAGCAGCCTGGGGAGCAGGGCCGCCATTCCCTCTGCTTTCACCCTCTTCCCCTGGCCTGGATGGAAAAAGCTAGTCCAGTCGGGGACCTCCGCGCCCTTACCACACCACCTTCGGGCAGCAGTGGCAGGGTCTGCGGGCAAGGCGGTTGGCACAGGCTGCAGAATGGCCCAGAGTGGCTCTGAAGGCCGGTGTCTGCCGCTCCCCACCGCCAAGCTGCAAGGCGCAGAGAGGCTCGGCCACACTCTTACAGGGTCGCTGCAAATAGGCGTGGCTCTGACTGTAGGGCCCATTGCACACTCTCTCCTTCCCTGTTAGGAGACCCTCTCCCCTGCTTGGGGAAGGAAAGGTCCCAGCTCCGAGCTAGAGATCTCAAAGCATGGCTGCTGCCCAGGAAACTGATCACCGCTGGGGAGCCCTTCTCAGGGCTTCTTCCCTTTCCAGAGCTGAAGATTTTCAGCTTTCACCAACAACTGTCTCCAAAATAACCCAGTTGGTCTCCTGCTTCCATGTCCCTCATCTTAGGCTCCAGCAAGGAGCTGGACAAGGAAAAAAAAATAATCCTGGGGTGGGGGAGGGAAGAGGGTATTATTTCTCTGCCTTGCCCCAGCCCCCAGCCAGTGCCAGAGAGCAGTGTTAGATGAGATCAGAAACCAAGGCCAGGGCCCCTCACCCGGGCCAAGGAGGAGCCACAGAGCTCAGGCCAAAGTCCAAGGCCAGTTAGCAGTGACCTGTCCCACCCATCCATACCCTGCCGATTACAGATGGAAAGAGAAACTAGTAGGGCCAAAGCTCGCGTCCTATTTGGGAGGCGGGGGGCCTCCTGGCACCTGCCAGTGATTCGGCGCCCGTTTAGCAAGATTCTGCTGGGGGAAAATGGGGGAGAGGCGAGAGGAGCCATGAGGCCTGTGTCAGCAAGTATGAGATCTGATACACAGCAGCGGCGGCCTGTTCTCCCCAGCCTTGCCAGGGAGGATGGCTGCGCCCAGTCCCGAGGCTGAGCCTGGGGTGCTAGGGGTGTTGTGGGTAGAAGGGACCGGGAAAGAACTAGTCTGCTGGTTTTCTCTCAAAGCCCCAGCTGTGTGAATTAACAGAAGCACTCAGTGAGGGCCCCGAACAGAACAAGCGGCCCTCGGGCTGATGAAGGGGTCCTTCTGGAGGTCTCCTCTAGTCAAGCTCTGCAGTCCCCACCCCGAGGCCACAGGAACAGGCGTCCGATTGTCACTGACGCCACACTGCACTGCACTGTCATTTGGCACAAGTGAGGAGATGCAGAGCAGTGCATGGAGCTGGAGACCATGAGAAAACCAGCATTCCTGTTTGGAAAGAACAGCTCTCTTGGTCTGAAAGGGACAGTGAGCGGGTGAGGTTCAAGGCTGAAAAAGCTGGCTCCTTTGATGCAGCCCAAACTTTCATCTCCCACCCCCATTTCCTACAGCGTCAGTGCGCCATAGGGACCCGAACAACTCCGCCCACCTGCTCCCACTGCCCTGCCTTCTGCCCAGCTTCATTCTTTCTGGGAAGGGGACCCGAGAGCCACTCCCTCCGGCCTCTGCAGCCCACCCCCCATCCAGACTGAACAGTCTTTGTCCCAGCTTTGCCCTGGAAACTTCCAGGGAGCTACCCACATCCACCTCAACCCGAGGCCCACCTCAGCCGCCATTCATTTTCTCCAACACGTCCCCAGATCTCCTTCCACCCCACCTCCCACACCACCCAAGCCAAAGTCCTCTCCCACCCCTCACCTCGGAAAGCCACCTCCTCATGGACCCAAACGCAACACTCCGCACTTCCAAACCCAACCTCCCTTCCTAGTTCAATAGCCTTAACCCACCAGTAACCGCAGAACCTTCTCTGGCTGCCCCCCACATCAACCACGAGGCCCCCTGTCCCCCCAGCACTGGCAAGCTCGCCATCCCCTTTTAACCACTTCCCCGACCCCAGTCCTCTTCAGTCCCTGCAGGTTTCCAGAGCATCTCCTAACCTCGACTGCCACCCCCACCCCAGGCTCTTCCTCCCCAAGCTTGCATCTCACCCTCCTCCTCCTTCCTCTGCACTGCTGGAGAACCTCCTTCTCTCACCTCAAGGGTCTGACCTGTAGAAGGGCCCCCCCCGCCCCTCCAGGAGCACTCCCCCCGTCCAGGCCCAGCTACCCACGGCCCCCTCTCGGGGAGCTCCCCAGCAGCCCGGCTTCCCTCCGATCCCCCTTCCCTGCATCCTCTCAGGACCCAAAGCCTTTATCAGGGCACAAATCACCCCCTTCCCTAGCCAATGTTTCTTACCTCGCCCCCCTGGAATCCAAACACCTCACCTTAGCGACCAAACGCCCCATCCTGGGTCCAAGAGCCCTTACCCTCTGAAGGTCCAGATGCTCCATCCTGGGTTCAAATACCCCCTTGGAGGGCTCAGGTGCCCCTTCTGGGTGCCAGAGAACCCATCTGGTGCTAAAAGTCGCTTTTGGAAGCCCCAACCCCCTTTTCGGATCCAAACGTCCCGCTCTGGGATCGAATGCCCTCGATAGTGGGGCAGAGAGGGGTCCAGAGGCGCTCTCCGGGGCCCAAACACCCTCCATTCTGGGTCCACTCGCGCTCTCGGGGGTCCTGCCCCGCCGCGCCCACCTCAGAGCCCCCAGCCTCGGCGGCCCTTCAGCCTCACTCACCATGGCGAGGCCCGGGGTGTCCGGAGCGCGGGGATCAAGGTTCCTCCGGCGGCGGCAGCAGCTGCAGCAGCTTGAGCTCCGCCGCGCGTCCGCGCCTCCACACTCACTGCCCGCAGCGCGCGCCGCCGCCGCCGCCGCCGCCGCCGCCGCCGCCGCCGCTCTTAAAGGGGACGCGACACTCCCAGCTCGCTGGGCCCCAAGCCTTTGGCCTTCTGTTCCCCACTGCACCAGCTCCCCCCTCAGGCACCCCGCTCGGGGCTGGGTTTGTGGCCGGCCGCGCGCGCGCGCGCGCGCGCGCGCACCCGCCGGGGGACTACTTTCCGTCGCCGCGCGCCCCGCCCCCTGTGCCCACTCTACTTTTCTCCTCGGCGGAGGGGCACTGCTCGGCGGCGCGTGACGCGTCCCTGTGTGAGCCGCGCCGCTACTGGGCCCGGGCAACGGCGGAAATAAGAGCGCGGTGCCGATTGGTCCGGCCTTCCCTGCAATGCGTCAAACTGGGGCGAGCCACTGCGTTGTGGTGGTGGGCAACACGAAATGTGTGTCTGCGTGGAGCTGTGAGGCGTAATGAGGCGAAGGGGAAAGTTGTGTGACTGTTAGAGAAGCAAATACATCATCTTCATGGTCAGGGAGTGGTAAAGGGGTGGCGGAAGATGCAGAAGCACTTTCTCGGCTCTCCCCTCTAACAGATGGAAGATGGTGCAATCCAAAATGCTGGCCTGGAAGCCCCGCCCCCAACTGGGCCCTACGATGTGGCGGGGTCTTCAAGGTTCCTCTCTTATCCTAAAGGTGCTGTCCGTCGGGACAGGTGTGTGCACCCTGTGACACCCTCCACAGGTGTCCGGAACCCCTATACCCGCTTCACTCCTGATTGGCTCAGGGTCTGTGAAAGTGGGGCCGTCGCAGGACAGCCTCTGGGAACAGGGCGTTAATTCAGTCATTCATTGAAAAAGACTGAATTGGGTGCCTGGTGTAATGTAGGGACCCGTGATTGGCTGGGCTGGGGAGACCAAACTTCCCAACCATTGTCCTGTTGTCTTGTAGACCACTTGACTCTTGCACTCCTTGTTCTAAGGTTCCAGCCATAGGAGGAAAAAGAGTGCCAAGGTTAGCTGAGACTGTTTACTGGAGCTCAGAAACGCTCCCCTTCTCTTGTTTAGAATGGGAGCTGCCATTCGGTTACATGTCCCGTACCCCTCTCGGTGATTGGCTGAAGAATGGCTCACTCGCCAATCATTATGTCACACCTGGAACAGGATGTAGGCTAATGAGAGTCCTTCCCTAGGTTTTTGGATCTAGAGTTTGGGAGCAGGAAGCCTTTTCCTTTTGCGTGGTGAGGCTGTGAAGAAATAAGTCTGGCACTGTCTGTGGCCATTTTCCCACCCTGGAGGGGAGAATAAAAGTGATACCAGGGAGAGGCAAAGAAGAGATGGCGTGAGAGAGTCCTGTTGCCATTCACTTCCCTGGTTCCAGTACTCTTGAGGCCAGCTGCACAACCATCATGCCAGGATTTTGCTTATTATGAGCTATTAAAATTTCCCATTTATCCCAAACTGGTTTGAGTTGAATTTCTGTCACTTGCACCCAAAGATTTTCTGATGGATGTGAGCTGGGCTAAACTCTGTCTTGGTCATCGACATTGGCCCTGAAACAGAGAAGGCCAAGGACCCAGTCAACATTTGCTGAACAAATAAGCAAAATGAAGTCAGACTCATGCTCTCTCCCCCTTTCTCTCTCCTCCCTGTCTCTGAGTCTTGATTTCTTCCAGGCAGAACTTAACTTCTGAATTACTTAGGCCTACGAAAAAATACATATACTACCATTAACGTGTTTGAGCACTTACTCTGTTCCATGCACCATTCCACTCGCTTTGTATCCATTAGTTTATTTAGTTCTTACAATATCCCTATGGGTTTGTTACTTCCATTTTCCACCTGATGAAACTGCCTTATTGCCACTGGAATTAGATGAGACCAGAGAGGTATGAAAGCTTGAGCAAAAACAGAGAAGTGAAGTTGCTTGCCCATGGTCACACAGTAGGAGGTAGAGTCAGGATCTGATCCCCAGCAGTTTGCCTGAAAACCCCACACTCTTGAACACCATTACACTACCAGTGGGAGAGATCACATTTGTCTTCTATCATCCATTTTCCCTGTCTTCCAGCATAATAGAAGTTTAGCTGGGCACATTGCGATCCTGAATAAAAACTGCATTTCCCAACCTTCCTTGCAGTTATGAGTGGTCATTTGATTGAATTCTGGCCAGAAAGGATAGTGATATATGAAACTTCTGGGTATACCGTTAAAGGGGAGGACATGCCCTCATTCTTCTCCTCTTGCCTGCTAGTAGAGCAGCCCTTGTAGGCATTAGATGAGAGACCAATGGTGACCATACTCACCGGGCACCTTGACGATTGCCTGGAGCAGAGCCCACCCTTCCATCCCCAGTGCCAAACTTTTATTCAAGAGTGAAATAAATTTCTGTATTGCTTAAGCCACTGTTATTTTGGATCACTTTGTTATAACAGCCAAACACATACATGTCCCCTTTTTGGTTACTGCCCTTGCTTTGGTGGACGCTCTTATGCCTACATTAGTGAGGGGTCATGTGGTTCAGGCGTAAACCAATCAGCACGTCCTGCTTCCATACCTCTGAGTGGTTCAGAATCAATTGTATGACTCTTATTTTTTTCCAGGCGTGGCATAATTTGCATTCAGTAAAATGCCACAGATCTTAAAGTGTTCAGTTCAATGAGTTTTGATAATTGTGTACACCATGTAACCACCACCCAAGACAAGCTGTAGAACATTTCTATCATCCCAGAAGTGAGCTCCCTTGTGGCTCTTTCCCGTCAATTCCTGTCCCCCTCAAGCAACCATTGTTCTGGCTTCTGTCATTAGCGATTAGTTTTGCCTGTTCTAGAGTTTTGTAGAAATGGAATCATATGGCATGCATTTTTCTGGTCTTAGCTTCCTTTGCTCAATGTAATATTTTTGAGCAAAGGTTGCATGGAGCATACATATACTAAAATATATTTTTTGTTGTTGATCTGGAATTTCAAGTTCAACTGGAGTCCTGTACTTCTAATTGCTAACTCTGATGACCCTGATCTCAAAGCACCTTCTTTCCATGGTTGGGAAATGAGCTTAGTGACCTTACAGGGGACCACCTGAACTTCCAGGCCTCAGGTTGTCCTATGCCAGAGCCAGGCAAGAATCTTGATAGTGGCTTCAAATCTTCTGAGCTTTAGGAATGATCGATAAACTAAGGCTCAGCCCCATTATCATCAACATCCCAGTTCACTTCCACCAGCTGGATAAACACCAAGTCCAGTAATACTGTCTGTTGCTGGATCCACGCCACGATCTGGTGACCCTGTTATTTCTCTGACCCCACCTCCCTACACTCTCACTCTCTTGGTTCCAGCCACACTGGCCTCTTTGCTGTTCTTTGAACACATTTGGCTGACTCCTGCCTCAGAGCCTTTGTATTATTTCCTCTTCCTCAAATGCTCTCCCCATGATAGTTATATGTGGTTTGTTTCCTCCTTTGCTTTGTTCAAATGACACGTCCTCGGTGATGGCCTACCTTGACCATCCCATTTCAAATTGTAAACCAACACTCCCAACTGACTTTACTTGGTCTTATTTTTTTCATAGGCAGGACCACTTTCTCAAATATGATATACTTTTCTTATTTATTCTATTTAGAGTTTGATTCTTCCACTGGAATATAAGTTCCATGAGGTCTGATCTTTCTATTGTGTTCACTGTTGTATCTTCAGTGCCAAAAGCAGAGCCAGGAATATAATAGGTGCTCAATAAGTACTTTTTAAAAATAACTAGATAAATATGGGGAGATGGAAATTCCCCTACAGTGCTGGTGGGAGAATATATTGATACAAAGACCCTAGTGAGTGTCCCATTTAGGGTAGGCTAGGTTATAGTACAGTAACAGCTGCAAAAATCTCAGTTAACACAGTTAAAGTTTCTTTCTCACTCACATAAAATCCACCAAGGGTCTTGGCCTCTCTGCAGGACAGATATCCTCCATGTGGTGACTCAGTGTCCCAGGTTCTTTTATCTCTTCTGAACATCTCTATGTTGCCACAGCAGGGGAAGAGAGGTTGGAGAATGTCCCAGGGAGTTTTCATTGTCTTAGCAGAAGTGACACCTGTCACTTCAGCTCACATTTCATTGTCCAGAACCAGCCACATGGTCCCATGTCACTGCTAAGGGATGGAGAAGTGTATTTTCTCCAGTGCCCCAGAAGAGGAAACAGGAAACAGAATTTGGTGATCATATCATGGTCTTGGTC